CATTAGCTTGATTTACATTAAGGGGCCAGCAGTCATATCTCCATAACTTTTGACACAGAAAAACAAATATATTTTTAGTGTAATTATGAATAAAGAGGTCTAAACACCATGCTTGGAGAACTACCTATTAAAGAATTAAACAACTGTTAACAAAATTAAATTATATTTCCCTAACACGCAAAGAATTGAGATATTTTGGAAAATGGGAAAATATATAGGCTTGTCTTTTTCTTTCTTGTGTTTATAGCTGTAATTCATGGTACAAAGTATTTAACACATAAATCCCTCTCAAGCTATGAAGCAACTTGTAAATCAGGTAAAAATTATTTACATTTTACAGAGAAAACTAGCCTTCAAGGAAAGTTAACACCTTGCCCAAAAGAGCACACCTTATGGCTTCCAATAGCACTACAGTAGTAGTTATGCTTTTCATATATTTGTTTATATAGAGTTGGAAGAAGCAGCAGAATGCCTTTATAAATAAATCTCATATTGAACTTGAACTCTGAAGCACTGGAATATATGAAAGCAATAATTTAATAGCTGTTTTAGCTACAAAATGATAATTACTGATAACAATAACTATTCTAAAAACTTAAATTTGACATGAGTAAGTATGTACTGGAATTCTTAAAAGTGCCTTCCTAATCAATGATAATCTTTCTCATCCATGACAGAATAACAAAAAAAATGCAATATTCATATATATATATATATATATATGTATAGATACCTAGATAAAGACAGGAGAACAAGTGATAATTTTGTTGTAGGCTTCAATGTGTTAAAATTATGTATATACATATTTTATTTTGTACTTGTAAGTTAAATTTTAAAAAACTTACCATTCTTAAGAATTCAGTCCAACTCAATTATTCAAAAACCCTGAAATGGGCCGGGGACTTATCTCTGGGGTTCCATCACCTGCCTCACAAGCACAAGGACCTGAGTTCAATCCCCAGTACCAAAAAAAAAAAAAAAAAAGATCCTGAAACATCTTAGAACTCTGTAGAAGAAAGCTTGAAAACCAATACATAAAGATGTGCTGCCACAAATTCATTACGTGATCTCTGCTTATGTCATTTAAGATAAAAATCAGGTAAAAAAAACTGCCTTTGATAATCAAAAATATGTAACACAAGAAACTTGATTAACCAAGGTAGACTATAGTTACTAGTCTATAGGATAGACAATCCATTCTACTGGTTGAAGTCTATAAAACTGCTAATATCTAATAATTTTAGCTATATATAAATACAGCTTATATGATCTAAATTAATATTTTCCATTTTAATTTGGCAGTACCTTCGGTTATAAAATCACAAAAAAGCCAATTATGTGATTGTATAGAAAAGTAAACAAGTGCAATAATCAATACCATAGAAAGGTATATCAGTGAAACTAAACAGATTACAATTTTTTAATGTTAAATTCTATTTTTTTGCAAAGTTTTGTTCACTTAGGTAGTGCTCAGTTCAGTTCTTCAAGTACACTGTAATATGCCTGGAAGGTGAATGATCTGAAAATAACCTATCTTCCCTGAGTAGTTTTGCACTCTACTCGTGTAATTAAAGGACTGATTCATCTAGTTACTGGAGTCTTTTGTGTACAATGTGTTGTATTTCAAAACATGTTAACTTTACAAGGTAAATAGTAGCTTTTCCCTTCTATTAAAAACTTTATTGAGGGCCGGGGATTTAGCTCAGGGGTTCGGTGGCCTGCCTTGCAAGTGCAAGGACCCGAGTTCAATCCCTGGTACCAAAAAAAAAAAAAAAAAAAAAAAAAAAAAAAAACCAAAAAACCCCCCAAAAAAACTGTGTTGAATGATCTAACTGACAACAGAGCAAGACAGATTTTGTAGGGGTTATGGATTTAATGACAATTTTGTTTATTTGTTGCTGCATATCATTTAATGTTTTTTTTCTGACTTAAGTTGCCAAATTAGGTCCATTGAATATTTCAGAATTTTCTTTATTTTGGAAGATAACTAAACCAAAACTGTAAAGGTATTTCTAAGAATCTCATACAATGTACAATTAAATATTCAAATATTAGGTTAGATTACTTCATTTGATAGTAAAGACAATTCCTTTTCAAGTATCCTCAGAATTCAATGCATCATCACAAATTAAGCCATTGACAAAGAGAAAGGCTTTCTGTATAAAGGTGACACTTCCCTTACCATTAATGAGATATATAATAGTAAAGGGTAATTTACACTGGATGTTCATGATTTTCATTCTTCCATTAAAAACTACAAACTAAAATTCAAAATTATATGACTTACTGGTTATTACTGTACACTTTCATACAAATGAAAAACACAAGAAAAAGTCAGAGTCACATTTAAGGAGGTACAGATGGATTTTATTTATATTCTATCAAAAAGAAAAATGTCTTTATTGGAAATAAACCCTTACATGCTAATTTTTAGAATGATGAATTTAAATTGCTAGATGCTGATTGCTTTGAAGAGCCCTTAAGAATGGCAATCTTAAAAAGCTACAAATGTTGCCCAAGTCATGTCATAACTGGCACAAACAATTCTATTTCCATCTGAATTTTTTTCATGCTAGTACATGAATCACTATTAAATACCTTTAGTTACTAAAAACAGGAATATTGGCAGAGATGTGTGCAGGAATCATAAAATATGAAAATGTCAATGCCCATTTTCCACACACTTCTTTCTTTTAATAACAAAAATGAGGATGTTCTTTCTAGATAAACAGAAATACTAGGTTCTTAAAATCTAAGAGAAAGCTATAAAGAGGTTTAAATGTTACTAAAGTGTCATGGATCCATAGACATGGCTAAAAAAAAAAAAAAAATCTTGTGGCTAAAAAAAAAAAAAAAAAATCTTGGCAAAGTCAATAGACCCCTCCCGTTCAACTAAAACAAAACAAAACTTGCTGTCATTTTAACAGAGCTTAAATTTAATCAACATGTCTTAAAGACACTTTCTTCATGTAGAAGACATGTAAGCAAGCTCAAAACTTTTCACTTTTAAGGTCAGGAAATATTTTTTTTAAAAGCTAAATGTTGATGCCATCTGGCCCTGCAACGAAAGAGTTAACGTTCAACTAAGCTGCTCTGCACTTCTGATCCATTACATTTCTCACAAGCTGCCCTACAATGAGCTGAGCAAGTATCAAGTGAAATTTGATCCCAGGGTTTATGGAAAAAAATAACTCCACATATTCATACCGCACATTTAATAAAAATCTATTTCAAGAGAAAGGTATACAATAAACACAATCCAAGGCATATTTAATTGCTTGATTAAATTCAATCCTTTGCTTTCCTCAAATAAAATGGGGGGGGCGCAACCCCACTGCAGGGAAAAGAGGCTTGAAAAACAACTTTGATTGGCACTTGGCCTGACCCACAGAGGAAGAAAAACAGTTTTTGGACAAAGAGCGCAAATATTTGAGCTTGCTTACTGATGTACTTTCTTTTTTTAATATACAAAGAACCATCCAAAAGTGACTATATAGAGAAATAGACAAAAACGGTACCATATTCATGTTAGCTTTCATTCCTGATGCGTTTGTTTGCACAGCTCAGCATTTTTAATTCATTTGTACTGGACAAAACACAAGCACCTCACCGAATGTTTCCACTTAATGCAATGTAAAAATGGAGTTTGGAAGAGAATAAACTGATTATAATACTACACAAGAGAGGCTTGAAATCTGATTAAAAACTTCTCTGGCTAAAGAGTTTTTCATCCTCCTCTCCCCCCTCCCCCTTTCCATCCCCCCACGGAACGATTAAACGAAGTAAGCTAAACAATGCTGGAGTAAACTTTCAGTCTCTATGGGAAGCAATAAACCGATGGGCCATCTGATTTTTCTGGATCAACACGGGAGAGGGGTGCTAAGGACGGATAACAGACGTCCAACTCCCCCAACCCCACCCCAGCCAGAAGAGCTATAAGGTCGAATAGCATTTCCCCTGGGCATAAAGTTCAAAATGCCTTAATAGTTCCTTTCGGGACCAAACTGTCGACACCAAACGACCATCAAAAGAATGTGAAAAAGGGGCGTTAGGCACCGAGTGCAAGGCAGAAGCACCCGAATAAACAAAAACACCTACAAGAGTTAGCCATAGCAAAGAGGGAGCCAGGTTCCTTAAGACCAGACCAGGCAGCTCAGATTTCAGGCCGGTCTCCCTCGACAGCCAAACTGCACCGGGAGAAAGATCCAACCGGTCCTCGCTACGAGGAGCTGACCCGAGGCAGCAAGACAGAAGCGAGCTGAAAAACACCACAGGCGCCCC